GCTGTCCCTCAGCTCTTCAGCTCAAGGCTAGCGCTCTACCACTTGAGCCACAGCGCCACTTCTGGCTTTTTCTGTTTATGTGGTACTAAGGAATGGAACCCAAGGCTTCATGCATGCTAGGCAAGCACTCTACCACTAAGCCACATTCCAAGCCCTACATTGGTTTTTTTTTCCCTTGTGTCTTGCAGTTACTTACCACAGACATAGAGGATAGTCCTGTGAGTAAAGCGCACCACATATTTACTCTGTGAGGTGTTTCCAACAATGTGTTGCCACAGATGCTCCACCGGTAAAGACCTCACCTCTACATTGGTTATTTTTGAGGTAACATCTTACTTTATGCCTCAGCTGGCCTCGGCTGAGATCTTACTACTTGTTCTTCCCCCTGTCACTGGGAATGACAGGCTTACACCGCTGCACCCAGCCTTTGGTTAAGACAGAATCACATGTGGGCGGCACAGTCCTTCAATCTCTACCTCTCAGGTAGTGAAATTACAGGCTTGACCCACCACATTCAGCTAGGAGTAATATTTTAAATAAAATGGTGTTTCCTCAAACCTGGTAGCAGAAGTGCTGTAGGTTTCGGAGGAGCTTTCTGGGCATGAGGAACAGAACTCTTCATGGCTCTGAACTGACACTGGAGAGGGAGAAGATTCCAACTTCACTTCTTGTTCCAACACTTCCTTTTCCTTCCTGTGGAGGGGAAACAAAACAGCAATAAAACCAGTTTGAAGTTTCTGTGACATTTCTTCAAGAATTTTGCTGGAGCTGGGCACTGGTGGCTCACACCTGTAATCCTAGCTACTCGGGAGGCTGAGATCTGAGGATTGCAGTTCAAAGCCAACCTTAGGCAGGAAAATCTAATTAATCACAGAAAAAGCTGGAAGTAGCGCCATGGCTCAAATGGTAGAGCACTAGCTAGCCTTGAGCAAAAAGGAGCTCAGGACAGCGCCCAGGTCCTGAGTTCAAGCCTCAGGACCACCAAAAAAAGAATTTCGCTGGAATCTTGACAGGTGTTAAGAAAAAATAAAGAGCTTACAGATTTGTCTGTGTTGCTAACACAAGTAACAGAAGCAGAGCCTCAGCACATTTCATACCCCTCATTGGTCTTCCAGTCATAATTGAAAAGAAGTGGGGCATCCAATCACTAGACTAGGCCTTGGAGTCATGGTCATCCAGGATGAGGTTCCTGACCTTCAGGACAAACCTACAATCTCAGCAGATAAACAAACAAATCTAGACTACATTCTGGAGGATGAGACCAGAGACCAGGGCACAGTGGGTCTTACTCAGTAGGGCAGTCAGGGAGGCCTTCCTGGAGGAAGGCCCATGTCACTGACTCCCCTGCCTTCTACTGGCTGCAGAGACACAAAGGCCTGGCTAATCAGAGCCTTGCTTTTGCTGGAACCTGCTGGTCCAGACCGAGAGGCTGGGGCAGAGACCCAGGCAGAGCCATCAGACTCTGTGAGGCTGGGGCAGAGACCCAGGCAGAGCCATCAGACTCTGTGAAACTTGGCTGGCAGAGGCTGAAGAGAGGAGGTGTCTCTTCCTTTTTGATCTAGCACTATGAAGACACAGAATTGGGGCTGTCTGGGGCTCTGAGGGCAAAGGCAGCTTGAAAAAGGAGCCAGCACCCAAAGAGAAGGATGGTGGAGGGAGGCAGAGCATGAAAACATCACAGATCCCTTAGGAGAAGTTTCTGAAGCCCAGGATTCACTTTGTGCTCACTTTGTGTTGTTGCTTGCAAGTAATAAACTCTGATTTGCATATTCATAGAGCCCAGAGCCCAGGGCGGGGCTCCGAGGGAGCAGCAGGTCAGCGGAAGCCCCCTGCCACAGTGGAGGAATCCCATGACAAGCCTTCCCTGCACTCTTTCCCACTGTGAATTCTTTTTTTTGTTTGTTTGTTTTTGTTTTTGGCCAGTTGTGGGGCCTGAGCTCTGGGCCTGGGCACTATCCCTCAGCTCTTCAGCTCAAGACTAGCGCTCTACCACTTGAGCTACAGTGCCACTTCCAGCTTTTTTTCTGCTTATGTGGTGCTGAGGAATCGAACCCAGGGCCTCATGCATGCAATGCAAACGCTCTACCACTGAGCCACCTTCCCAGCCCTGTGAATTCTTTTTTTTTTTTTTTTTGTCGGTCGTAGGGCTTGAACTCTGGGCCTGGGCGCTGTCCCTCAGCTCTTCAGCTCAAGGCGAGCGCTCTACCACTTGAGCTACAGTACCACTTCCGGTTTTCTGGTGGTTTATTGGAGATAGGAGTCTCACGGTCTCTCCTGCCCGGGCTGGCTTTGAACCTCGATCCTCAGATCTCAGCCTCCTGAGTAGCTAGGATTACAGGCGTGAGCCACCAGCGCCCAGCTTCCCACTGTGAATTCTTGACACTCTTCCCCCTTGAACTCTTTCCATGGTTTTGGTTTGTACCAACCTTGAAAGAGCCTCCATTTTTTTCAGGTTTCCTTTCAATTTCCTGATTTCCAACCGGGGATAGGGCGGGATGAACATGTAGTTGGTCTTCCTTTTTTCTGCTTCTAATTTATCAATATTCTTCATCTGCCTGGGTGGGACATGAGAAGATGAACATGGGAGAGAGTCAGTGTGGTCTTCTTGCCAGTCCTGGGCTTTGAGCTCCGGGCCTGAGCACTATTTGTGAGCTTCTTCTTACTTAAGGCTAGCGCTCTACCACTTGAGCCACAGCGCCACTTCTGGCTTTTTCTGTGTATGTGGTGCTGAGGAATCGAACCCAGGGCTTCATGCATGCTAAGCCACATTCCCAGCCTTCTAAAACACATTTTTACAAGTTCATTCATCAGTTAGCTAAGAGCCATGCAAGGAACCCGGCTGACAACCCAGCAGTGACTCGGTTACTCATCTCAGATCCCTGGAGATGCAGAGAAGACGAGGAAGTGTCCCTGTACTCTAGGATCATAAACACAAATTCCAGAAGAAGGCTTGATGAACATTAGCTACTGCTGCTATAGAACGTTTCTCCATGGTCTGTGCTCATGTAACTTTGGAGTGTACAATGGGAAGGCTGAACTGGATATTACATCAGCTGACTTTGGAAATGTGGCCAAATGTAGACACTTATTTTAGGGAGATGCAGATTATATGTATGCAAGGGAGGCAAAATAGCAATTAATGTGTGTGTGTGTGTGTATGTGTGTATATATATATATATATATATAATGTAAATTAAGATGCTGTCATCAGCTGGAATGTGGTGTACATGCCTGTAATCCCAGCTACTTAAGGAGGCTGAGGCAGGAGAATTACTTGAGCCCATGAGTTTGGAGACCACTCTGGGCAACACAGTGAGACCTCATCTCAAAAATAAAAATAAAAAAAGATGTTGTCATAAACTTCTCTGACATTATAGGGAGATATAAAAGGGCTGCATTTGCCAGGCACCAGTGGCTCATGTCTGGAATCTTAGCTACTCAGGAGGCAGGCTAAGATCTGAGGCTCACGATTTGAAGCCAGCCCAGGCAGGACAGAGACTGTTGTCTCCAATTAATCACCAAAAAGCTGGAGCTAGTCTTAAGCAAAAGCAGCTCAGGGACAGCATCCAGGCCCTGAGTGCAAGCCCCAGGAATGGCACCACCGCCACCACCAAAACCCTTAGGATAACTTCAGCAATAAAGAAACAAGCCTTGTACCTCAAGATGTTGTCTTGCAGTTCCTGTAAGTAACTATCAAAATAATTCCATTCCTGCCAGTGCAGGCGGTTGAGCTGTCTGAGTTTTTCCTTTCTCCTCTTCATGTTGTACAGGGACAGGTTGATGATATGAGCATAAGTTGGGACAGAGTCAGTAGATTCCGTTGTCAAGGAAAAGTCTCAGACTACCCAGCCGTGCTGTCCCCTTGCTTTTACTGGCCTATGCCTACTTCATGGGGAAAGATCCCCTGTTTCTTTCTGTGAGTTCTGCAGGATATACCTGCAATCCAAGCAAGCAATGGCCATTTGCCACTTAGCCACAGAAGGATGTCCAGTCCGAGGCTAGGAAGGCAAATGAAATCTTCCCCTACACCTGTGGATGGTAGGAAGCTAGGAAATACCTCTTGAGAATGTCTTAAAAGTCTCACTATTACCACCAGGGCAACACCACCAGGTCCCTCTCCTTTCAGGCCTAAGGTCTCATTCTCCACCTTTCTTCCCTCCTCCCTTTACCCCTTCTTGATTGGTAGAACCTCAGCTACACTTTCTATAAGCCAAAGAACCTCAAACAAGGTATGTTATCTTCTTTAGACCCACTTTCTTGTCTTATTGTAAGAGGTGTAACTGTACCTATTTCAGATGCTGATGATGTTGATGATGGTGCTAGTTGTTTAGCATCAGGTGGATGTCATTTAATCACACCACCATGAATTTTTATAATAGGGAATAGATTAAGATACATGGTGCTGAAGAGCTGGACACCAGTGCCTCATGCCTGTAATCCTAGCTGTTCTGGAGGCTGAAAGTCAAAGGATCATAGTTCAAAGCCACCCCAGGCAGAAAAGTCCACAAGATTCCATCTCCAAAAAAAAAAAAATCAGCAATCAGTTCTGAAGGCTTGGTAGAACACCAGCCATGAGCAAGTAAGCTGAGAAGGAAAAAAAAGTAGCCAAAAGCAGGTCTGAAGGCATGGTAGAACATCAGCCATGAGCAAATAAGCTGAGCAAGTTAAGTGTGAGGCCCTGTGCTCAAACCCTAGGACCAAAAAAACCCAGAAGATACTGAGTTGGAGCTTAAGCTGTGCACACTGACATCCTCAGGCCATGGATTGCTAAGCCAGAACTCAGGTCTGGGGTCATGCACCTCCAGATAGGCGTCATCCACTTCAGCACACTGACATATAGAACATGGAGTGACACATGAGAAATTGTCACAATGCCACACCACGCATTGTTCTTGTTCTTCCTATGGACATGTAAATAAGTTGGTGGACATGAAGCTCTCTAGGTTAAGTCCTACCTAGATGCTTGCAAAGGCTCCTGGGATGAGGAGCCCAAAGTACTGTGTCCCACGGAGCCCTTCCTCCTACTGCACCTCTCCTCTTCCTCACAGCCCCATGAGATGGGGTTTTATTTTTTAAATCCAGATTTTATAGATTAGAAAACAAATGAGACCTAGGGAGGAACTGGAACATACCTGAAATCACTTGGCTGGTTAGTGGTAGTGCTGGTGCTGGTGCTAGACCAGGAGATCAATTTGATTCCAAATAGAGCTTATATTCTGACTAACCTGGATGGAAAACTGCTAAGACACCAACATCTGCCACACCTTCTTTGTGGACACCTTAGGTCTGGGTTTTTGTTGTTGTTGTTTTGTACCAAATCTTGGAAGTCATGTGAGGATGACATTAGAGAAAAAACCTACATGGACAGCAGATCGCTACTCAGTGTACATTCCAGGATCAGTTTGCATCTGGGAAGCACTAATTAGTTTTTTTTTTTTGTTTTTTGACAGTCCTGGGGCTTGAACTCAGGGCCTGGGCTCTGTCCTTGAGCCTCTCTGTGCTCAAGGCTAGCGCTCTACTACTCGAGCCACAGTGTCACTTCCAGCTTTTTCTGTGTATGTGGAACTTAGGAACTGAACCCAGCGCTTCACGCATGCTAGGCAAGCACTCTACCACTAAGCCATATTCCCAGCCTGCTAATTAGTTTTTGAGAAAGAAAAAGTGCCTACATAGCTATTCATTCTGGGAAAGAATGAAAGGAGTTTTGTGTACTTGAGGAAAGTGTGTGTGTGTGTGTGTGTGTGTGTGTGTGTGTGTGTGTGTGTGTGTGTGTGTGTGTGTACATACTGAGGATTGAACTTAGGAGCTCATGTTCTTAACTTTTTCTACTTAAGGCTGGGACTCTACCATGTGAGCCACAGTTCCACTTCCAGCTTTTTGCTGGTATTGAAGAAAAGTCTCATAAACTTTACTCTCCAGGCTGGCTTCATACCTCGATCCTCAAATCTCCACTTTCTGAGTAGCTAGGATTACAGGAATGAGCCAAAGGCACCTGGCTCTCATGGGGAAACTTGGCTTGCTCATCATCTCTCAGCCATTTTGGGGCCTAGATGTAAAGCTAAGATAAGGCAAGCTTCTGCCTGAGGGTCAAATAGATGGCTGTCTTTGTTGAGCAGTCACGGTGCCAGACTTTGCATAAAAGCCTGCATGTTCCCCCAACCCCTGATCCTTGGAAAGGACAGTGGGGCCTGTGGGACCAAGGATATGGGAGGGCTTTGGTCCATTCATGCCGGGTTACCAGCATATCCTGGCCTTTATGGCACAGGGTAGCATGGTTAAGAAGATAGTACATGATCAGCGGGCTCTTTCCATAGAGGTTGAAAAGGCTGGGGGTCAGCTCAGGATTTTTGCAGGCAGTGCAGGACTGAGGAAAAAATAATTTTTTTTTTTGGTCAGTTGTGGGGCTTGAACTCTGGACCTGGGCACTGTCCCTGTGCTCTTCAGCTCAAGGCCAGTGCTCTACCACTTGAGCCACAGTTCTACTTCCAGTTTTCGAGTGGTTTATTGGAAATAACAGTCTCACGGACTTTCCTGCCTGGGCTGGCTTTGAACCGGGATCCTCAGATCTCAGCCTCCTGAGTAGCTATAAGCCATCAACGCCTGGCTGAGAAAATCATTTTTATGAGATATTGCCATGTTTATAGCATATATTAAGAAACAGGCCTGGCTGGGTGCTGGTGGCTCAGGTCTGCTACTCAGGAGAGTGAGATTTGAAGATCGCTGTTCAAAACCAGCCTGGGCAGGAAAGTCCATGAGACTCTTTTTATTTTTTTTTATTTGGTTGTGGGCCTGAACTCTGGGCCTGGGCACTGTCCCTCAGCTCTTCAGCTCAAGGCTAGCACTCTACCACTTGAGCCACAGCGCCACTTCCGGCTTTTTTTTTTCTGCTTATGTGGTGCTGAGGAATCAAACCCAGGGCCTCACACATGCAAGGCAAGCGCTCTACCACTGAGCCACCTTCCCAGCTCCCATGAGACTTAATTAACCACCAGAAAACTGGAAGTAGAACTGTGGCTTAAAGTGGTAGAGCATTAGCCTTGAGTAAAAAAAATCTCAGGCATAGCCCTGAGTTCAAGCCCTACAACAGACATATATATATATATATATATATATATATATGTATATATATATATATATATATATATGAAAACAAAAAAGAAATATGGTGGCTCACACCTCTACATAGGAGGTAGAAATTGGGAGGCTTATCATTTGAGGCCATTCTGGGGAAAAAGCTAATGAGACCTCATATTAGGAAGTGGAGATGTGACTCAAATGGTAGAGCACCAGTCTTAACTAAAAGAAAAAGCTAAGCAAGAGTATGAGGCAAGGCTCAGAGTTCAAGTCCTAACACTAGCACAAAAAATATGAAAAGCTGATAACCTAAAAACTATTTCAAGTATTATAATTTGTTATATTACTGAGGATTGAACTCAATATCTACCACTTGGTAGATAGTTTCTCTGCCATTTGAACTACTCTGCTAGTCCCTTTTTGTATTGGATATTCTTGAGATAGAGTCTTGGTTTTCAGAGCAAATAAAAAACTTTTTTAGCAAGGCATTGGTGGCTCATGCCTGTAATCCTAGCTACTCAAGAGGCTAAGATCTGAGGATTGCAGTTCAAAGCCAGCCAGGGCAGGAAAGTCTGTGAGACTCTTATCTCCAATTAACCACCAGAAAACCGGAAGTGGCGCTGTGGCTCAAATGGTAGAGTACTAGTCTTGAGCTGAAGAGCTGAGGGATAGCATCTAGGCCCAGAGTTCAAGCCCCATGACTGACAAAAAAAAAATTAGAGTAACCTTTTTTAGAGTTCTTACCCTAACATTTTCACAGAGATATATTTCCTAGCCATGTCTCCCACTCCCTTTTTATTTTCAGTACTGGAGCTTGAACTCAGGGCCTTGCATTCTTGCTTAGCTTTACCACTCACTCAAGGCTGGTACTCTACCACTTGAGCCACACCTCCACATCTGGCTTTTTGGTGGTTAACTGGATATAAGAGTCGTTTGGATTTGTCTGCCTCAATCATCAGACCTCAGCTTCCTGAGTAGCAAGGATTATAAGAAGCATGAACCATGGGCCCCTAGCCAATCCCACAAACTGACAACGGGGATACTGGGGCTTGACCTCAGGGTGTGGGTGCTGTCCCTAGTTTTTTTTTTTTTTTTGTCCCTAGTTTTTTTGTTTTTTGCAAAAGACTAGTTCTCTCCCACTTGAGCCACAGACCCACTTCTGGATTTTTTTTGTTGTTGTTGTTTAGTAGATATAAGAGTCTCACAGACTTTTCTAACCAGGCTGGCTTTGAACTGCAATCTTCAGATCTTAGCCTCCTGAGTAGCCAGGATGACAGGTATGAGCTGCCAGTGCCTGGCTTTCCTTTTAAACCATCTCTACTCTGACATTTCCAGTCATGAATGCTTACCTCTTTAAACATATTTGCATATTCTCTGGCTTCTGATATTCTCTTGACTTGTCGTGTGGCTTTCCTCCAGACTAGGGTCTGACGACGAGGATATCCTGTCCATGTGATATAGCATAAAAGTGATCATGAGAGTTAGCCAGGGATGATGAGGAAAAGCACAAAGTCAATCTTAGCCACCAGTGAGTGAAGAAACCTGGATGCAGTTGTACCACTGCAAGATGCTACAGGATACAGCTACCATAAATCCTGTGATTTCACTTGCTTTTCATCTGGATAAACACATGGAGGCCATGTGTTTGTTTATATACTAATCTGTTATCCAACAAATATTTGCTCAACACCTACTATGATCAGGTCCTTGCTCAAATGCTAGAAACAGACTATCTCCAAGAACTTCCCTGTTTACTGACAAAGAAGAGGAAATGTAAGCAATAAGATAACACTAACTAGGATGACATGTTAGCACTCTACAGGATACAGTGTGTCCACAGAACAAGGAAGGAGAGAGCTAAAGTATTTCAAAATGTGAGGCAGCAACAGGAAGGAGGTTGCAATTAAGATAGCAAAACAACTCTTACACAAAATATTGCTTTTTTGGGGAGGGGGGGAACAGATTAACAGAGAAACAACAGATCATTCATACAGAACTTATTAAAATGATTGCCGTTCTCAGCAATAACAATGAAAGGTAGCAGTGGAACAAAATCATCAAAGCATGGTAAGCAAATGTCTGCTCATTATGGCTGGAAGTGGAGCTCAGAGCAGCACTTGCCTTGTAGGTGGCAAGGCCCTAGGTTTGATTCTAGTACCACACCAGAAACAAACAAAAACAACTGAAGCCAGACTTTTATACCCAGCAAAACTACCCTTCAAGGACCAAGAAAAACATTCAAAGAAAAACAAAAATTATTAAGAACTTACAAAGAAACATGTGATTAAAAGAAAAAAGACTAATAAAGAAGGGAGGAAGAGACACAGAGAGAGAAATAAATATTTATGCACCATGTATGTTTTTTTTCCAGAAAGAAGAAAAATAATCCCAAAAGGTGACTCTTCAGTAAATAGGCAAATAAAAGTACACTTTAACATTGATCATAGAATTTTATGATAATAATAATGTCATTTAATTGTGGGGTTTTGAAATAGGACAGGAAGGCCAAAAATAATGGACAAAGTACCACTAAAGTCTAGAAGAGATTGGGATTGCAGCACTCACAAATCTTTGCTTTATTCAGGAAAGGGCAAGGGTTAAGGTATTTACTTTTAGATGAAGTTAAATACGCATGATAGAATTTCAAAATCATATAATAAAAAGGGATTTAGTCTTGGCCTCAGGGGGACAGGTAGCTCTTTGTCATGGGAGACTGACCTACATAGGCTTAGTAGCCTCCCTGACCTCTACCTGCTAAGTGCCTGAAGCAATTAATCACTATAGCATACCTGGGCTGCCTTCAAACCTTGATGTAGGATTATAGGCATAAAAGCCATGGCCACCCAGTAATAGAACTCTTTACAGAGGAAAATTGCCCCTGTTTGAGACCCACTGCAACAAAAATATGTACAGAATGTTGCTGTTCCCATATAGAAAGACTACTGTAAGAAAAAGAGAACCAACCGGGCCCCAGTGGCTCATGCCTGTAATCCTAGCTACTCAGGAGGCTGAGATTTGAGGATTATGGTTCAAAGCCAGCCCAGGCAAGGAAAGTCTATGAGACTCATCTCCAGTATACCACCAGAAAACCTGGAAGTGGCATTGAGGCTTAAGTGGTAGAGCACTCACCTTGAGCTGAAGAGCTGAAGGACAGTGCCCAGGCCCAGAGTTCAAGCCCCGTGACTGACAAAAATGAAGAAGAAGGAGGAGGAGGAGGAGGAGGAGGAGGGAAAGAAAGACAGAAAGAAAGACAGAAAAAGAAAGAAAGAAAGAAAGAAAGAAAGAAAGAAAAAGAAAGAAAGAAAGAAAGAAAGAAAGAAAGAAAATTTAGCAAGGGTTTAGTTTGGGAAAGAAAGTAGGATAGGGCACTGGTGGCTCACACCTGTAATTCCTAGCTACTCGGGAGGCTGCAATCTGTGGATTGAGATTTGAAGCCAGCTGGGGCAGAGAAGTCCATGAGACTCTTAGCTCCTGTAAACTACTCAGAAAAAGCCAGAAGTGATGCTGTTGCTCAAGTGGTAGAGTGTTAGCCTTGAGCAAAAAGAGGCTCAAGGACAGTGCCCAGGCTCTGAGTTCAAGTCCCAGGACCAACATACACACACACAAAGATTGAACTCCTATTTACAACTATAGAGCATACCCAGTGATTATGGAACCAAAAAAACAATTTCATACTCTCCTAAAATACTGTTTTTTACTAAGGCCTAGGATAGAAACCCCAGAAAAAAAGCAAACAGCCAATGAACCAGAATTTGGAAGGTCAATACTGAATTGCAAACCACCATTTCCCCTTGCAGAACTCAACATACCTTTGGCAGCACCCTGCAATTGCCAGCTTTCTTCTGTACTCAACTTGCCAGGAGGGAGTTTATCATTGATCAAATATGCACTACAAGACTTCAGGAAGAAAAAGAGCAAAGTCAGCAATACTGGTGGCACAAGGAACATGCAGCTCAAGGGTTTCTCAGTTTTAGCAAAAGAACACAAAGACAGAAAGCACTCATCTCCAATTAACCAGCAAAAAGGTCAGAAGTGGAGCTAGCCTTGAGGGACAGTGCCTAGGCTCTGAGTTCAATCCCTAGGACTGGCACAACAAAACACACGTGCGGGCGCGCAAATACACACACACACACACACACACACACACACAAAACTTCAGCAGGAATCAAGCACTCCTGTAATCACAGGAGGTTGAGATGTAAGGATCACAGTTCAAAGCTAGCCCAGGCAGAAAAGTCTATGAGACTCATCACCAAATAATAACAAAAAAAGGAGTAGTAGTGATATGGTGGCTCAAGGGTAGAGTGCTAGCCTGAAATAAACAGCTAAGCAAGGGTGTAAAGCCCTGAATTCAAGTCCCAGTGATGGCACACATGCATTTAAAAAAATATCAGTGACTTTCAGGATTCCAAAGTTTTGGATCATTTCTGTTTCTGGGTAGAAGATGGAATCTCTTAGCTGGGTTCTTGAAATAACAGTTGGAAAGCTTTATGTGTTACAGTACAAAGGCAGGCGGTTGTGACAGGCGGTGTCCAAACACTGAGTAATATTTTCATCTGGTTCTCTGAGTGACAGCTGTCCCTGAGAAGCACCTGTTCCACCAGTGCTCTGGGGTGGTATTTCTGGAGCCCCATTCATATGGGCCAGGAGTAAATGATCATCATCAAGTCTAGAAAGCTTTGGTGAGTGCCTTCTATGTGCTGGGCCTGTGTCCTGAGATGAAAGAGCTAGAACAGTCCTGGGGGAGAGCAGAATGAGGTGGCTGAGGAGAAGATGATCCTGAACTTGAGGGAGTATGAGTCTGGAGAAGCTGCTGGAGGCGGGAGGTTAGGCAGGAAGTGACTCCATTGATAAGATACCTGTGGAAGGTCATCACAGGAAGTGATCCCATTGATGGATGCCCAGGGAAGGCAGTCACTGGGTAGGGACTGGGGTGGGACTATGAGGAAAAGGAAAAAAAGCTGCTGTAGTCAGAGGCTAAGAGTCACCAACCTGAGCATCAGACTTCCCTAGTGAGGCCAAGGAGGCAGCTAGATGTGAGCTCTGAGCAGGGTAGGGTAGACAAAGGCCTGGTATTGCTGCAATATGAGGGATGTTTGAAGCCACCAGACCAGACAAGGCTACCACAAGGCCACGCTGTCACACAGAGTGTGACAGGAGCCAACAGAGATGCTTAAGAATGGGGAGCTGGCTGAATGTTGGTGGCTCATATCTGTAATTCTAGCTACTAGAGGCTGAGATCTGAGGATCACAGTTCGAAACCACTTGGGTCAGAAAAGTCTCTAATTCCTCAGCAAAAAAAAAAAAAAAACAGAAGTGGAGGGATGGCTCATGTAGTAGAGTATCAGCCTGAGCAAAGAAACCAAGCAAGAGTGTGAGCCCCTGGGTTCAAATCTCAATACACACAACATACACACACACACACACACACACACACACACACAAAGGTGTACACACATACAGAATGGGCAGCCAGTGAGGAAGAAAGGTGCTCTGGCAATTAAAAAAAATTTTGGTGTTATGGGCTGGGAAGGTGGCTCAGTGGTAGAGCGCTTGCCTTGCATGCTCAAGGCCCTGGGTTCGATTCCTTAGCACCACATAAGCAAAAAGAAAAAACCGGAAGTGGCACTGTGGCTCAAGTGGTAGAGCGCTAGCCTTGAGCTGAAGAGCTGAGGGACAGCGCCCAGGCCCAGAGTTCAGGCCCCAAGACCGGACCCAAAAAAAAAACAAACAAAAATTTGATGTTAATGTAGGTCATGAAGAACAATCTACTTTTCCCAAGAAACTAAAAACAGCTGGGCTCTGGTGGCTCACACTTGTAATACTGACTACCCAGGAAGCTGAGCTCTGAGGACTGATGATTGAAGACAGACTTGGAGGAAAAGTCGGTGAGACTCTTATCTCTAATTAACTACCAAAAAGCCGGAAGTGGAGCTGTGGCTCAAAGTGGTATGGCACTAACCTTGACCACAAAAGTTCAGGGACAGAACCCAGGCCTTGAGTTAAAGCCCAGGACCAACACACACACACACACAAAAAACCAAAATAATAATAATAATTTAAAAAACCCAAACCTAACAATCTACCATATGATTCAGATGATTCAGCAACCACATTTCTTGATATCCATCAAAAGGAAATGAAATTAGCACAATATTTACCAGTGGGCTGGGAATATGGCTTAGGGGTAGAGTATTTGCCTAGCATGCATGAGGCCCTGGGTTCAATTCCTCAGTACCACATAAACAGAAAAAGCCGGAAGCGGTATTGTGGCTCACGTGGTAGAGTGCTAGCCTTGAGCAAAAGAAGCTCAGGGACAGTGCCCAGGCCCTGAGTTAAAAACAAACAAACAAAAACAAAACAAAAAACAAGCCAGGCACGGTGGCTCACACCTGTAATCCTAGCTACTCAGGAGGCTGAGATCTGAGGATCGTGGTTCCAAGCCAGCCAGGGCAGGAAAGTCTGTGAGACTCTTATCTCCAATAAACCACAAGAAAAACCAGAAGTGGTGCTGTAGCTCAAATGGTAGATCACTAGCTTTGAGCTGAAGAGCTGAGGGACAGCGCCCAGGCCCAGAGTTCAAGTCCCACAACCGACCCCCCCCCCAAAAAAAACCAACAAATCAGGGCTCCCATGTTTATTGCTTTGGAGTTCACAATAGCTAGGGTATAGAATCAGCCTACTTGGGCACCAACAGGGCAGGAGAAGAAGCAGGTATGAGGGATGACAACCAGATTGCAGGCTTCCCTGAGGGTTAATGGAAGAAAAATGCAGAAAATATCTTATGCAGCCTCCTTGGCGCTCAGAGGCTGGCTCCAAGCCTGTGGCCACCCCTTTCTGAGAAAATAGGCTAGAACCAAGCAGGGGAGCCCCCTGGAGGTGTGGTTCAAATGACAGAATGCCATTTGTGTATGAAAAAACCAAGTAAGAGCAAGAGGCCTTGAGTTCAAGCCCCAGTACCAGCACATACACTCAGAGAAAAAATGAGCGGGCGGGGGGGGGGGGGGGAAGTGCAGGGGTACGGGGAGCCAATGCTGGAGCAGCCCGGGTCTCTTCAGTTTAGGGGCTCCTAAGAGTTCAGGTCTGGGTCTCTCCACTTACCTGAGCGTGGATGTTTTTTTTCTGGCCTGACTTGAGAGAGGTTTTCTTTAAATTGAAGAGAGAAAATTCTCTTCCTAAGAAAGGGGACAGGCTGTTATTTGGTTTCTTCCCCGCCTCTCCTCCCTTCCCTGCCTCTCCTCCCTTTCTTCCCCATTCCTATTCTTCCCCTGGTTGTGATTTTTTGATTTTGCACTCATCCAAGGGGCAAACCTGTTACATTTCCACCCCTCCCTGCCTGCCTGCCCACGCCCCAGCTCAGTGTGCAAACCTCTGTGGTACAGTTATATTGTCTAAATTGCCCCCTGGCTCACAGTGCTCCCTATCCTGCTATAGCAATGACACATTGTAGACACCTCTCACTGGAAATTTGTGTGTGTGTGTGTGTGTGTGTGTAAGCATACGTGAGTGCCAGCACTGGCACTTGATCTCAGATCCTAGGCCCTGTCCCTGAGTTTTTTTGCTCAAGGTTTGCACTCTATCTATTTGAGCCACTAGTGCCACTTCCAGTTTTCTGAGTGTTAATTGGAGATAAGAGTCTCAAGGACTTTCCTGGCCTGGTTGGCTTTGAACTGAGATCCTCTGATCTCAGCCTCCTGAGTCGCTAGGATTACAGGTATAAGTTACTGGCACCTGACTCCCTTAGCTTTTTTTGCCCAAGGCTGGAGGCCTACCATTTGAACTTCCAGCTTTTTTGTAGTTAATCAGAATAAGAATCTCATGACTTTTCTGTCCAGGCTGGTTTCACTCCTTAATCTTCAGATCTTAGCCTCCTAAGTCGCTAAAATTACAGAGCTAAATCACTTAAAACCTACTATTTGACTATAAAATTTCACTCCCCACATCTCAATAGTTACATCATATGGACTCTAACTGAAGTTCACAAACACGGACGATGTACTCATTTGGAGATCCATGAGAACCGGGCTTGGGGACACAGATGTTATAGCCTTCGGTTGCCTGGGTTAGATGGTGGTTGGGTGTAGCAGGGACATTGGCTGGTATCTTACCTTTTGCCTGCCGTTTTCTGTGATTCAGTAATTCCTCTCTCCGGAATCTCTCTGGATCCAATTCTGAATAGTCCCAGTCCTTATAGCACTGTATACGAGGATATGTCCCTAAAAGAAGTTGAGAATGATAGTGGACATTTCTGCTAAGTAGACCAAAGCCTCAAAATTACACCTGGTTCTAGGGAGGCTGTGCTTCAAGACTAGCCTTGCCCCACAGTGGCCTGAATACTTCACTTCCTCTCTAGAGGGCTTTGTTTTATTTTATTTTTTGTGACAGTACTGAAACTTGAACTCAGGACCTAGGTGTCATCCTTTAGATTTTTTATTTTTATTGTATTTTATTTTTGCCGGTTGTAGGGCCTGAACTCTGGGTCTGGGCGCTGTCCCTCAGCTCTTTAGCTCAAAGCTAGCATTCTACCACTTGAGCCACAGTACTACTTCTGGCTTTTTCTGCTCATGTGGTGCTAAGGAATTGAACCCAGGGCCTCATGCATGCGAGGCAAGCACTCTACACTGAGCCACCTTGCCATTTGTTCATTCTTGGGCTTCTTTGATTCTTCAAATCAGTATGGTAAGGAATTAATAGCAAGCCTGAGACTGCTAACCTTAGAGCTGGGCTTTGGCTGGTGTCTGGGAGTTTGTTGGGGAAGGAAGGGTTCCTTATGCTGATATAAAACTTCATTATGCTCCTTGTGCCTAGGCGCTTTGCACTCCTAGTGGGGCTCTTGCAGAACATCTGCTTTCCTGGAATTGTGAGGTGGGCTAGACAGAGGTGTTGCCATGTTGGTCCCTAATAAAACCTATACCACTGCATCTCTCATGTGTTTCCCCAGGGAAAACACCACACAAAGTTGCTTTGTTTTCTTCAAAGGGCACACAGGGCTCTGTGTGGAGGTGCAATAAGGCGTAGCAGTTCTGTTTTGTTTTCTTTTGTTTTTGGTCGGTCCTGGGGCTTGCATTCTGGGCCTGGGGACTGACCCTCAGCTCTTCAGCTCAAGGCAAGCACTCTATCACTTGAGCCACAGCGCCACTTCTGGCTTTTTCTGCTTATGTGGTGTTGAGGAATTGAACCCAGGGCCTCATGCATGCGAGGCAAGCACTCTACCACTGAGCTACTTTCCCAGCCCATGGAGTAGTAGCTCTGACTGTAACTGACTTAGCTGACTCCTGGGAGTCCCCTAAGGTGGGGATGATCTTGTAGAGCCCCCAACACAACGGTGCTTAACTTAAGCTGGGCGTGGTGGCTCACGCCTGTAATCCTAGCTACTGAGGAGGCTGAGATCTGAGGATCACGGTTCAAAGCCAGCCCAGGCAGGAAAGTCTGTGAAACTCTTATCTCCAATCAACAACCAGAAAAGCGGAAGTGTGCTGTGGCTCAAGTGGTAGAACACTTGCCTTGAGCCAAAGAACTGAGGAGCAGTCCCCGGGCCCAGAATGCAAGCCCCACGACCGACAAAAAAAAAAAAAAAAAGGTGCTTAACTTAACACAGTATCTAGGACACAGGATCCTCAAAAAAAACTGGAGCAGTACTGGGATTGAACTCAGCCTGGCACTTGCTAGGCAGGTACTTGACTCCTGACCCATGCCTCTAGCCCTATTTTGTACACCAATTGCAACTTTTAAAGAAGGGTCTGTGGAGCAGGCATGGAGCTGCTCCGTGTGTACAGGAGGGCAAACAATATTGGCCACTTGGGTCATATGAAGGCTGTGATTATCTAACCAGGATGCTGCTTTGGGGTCCATCAGCACAAGTTCAAAGTTTAGTAAGAGAGCTGAGTTGGAACTTGAGTATCTTAAGAGAGGCCTCCTTTCCTTTCTCCCTGGAGAGAAAGGGAACAAAAATTGATCAGGGAGGCATGTCTCAGAACAGTTTCCAAGGAAGCAGGAAAATGCTTCTTGGGCTCTAACCAGTATTCCTCTCCTTAGTGTTAAGAAGAGAAAAGGAAAATTGCCTTGATGAAGAGCGTCATGGTGAACAAGAATGTTCTTAGACCCGGTGCCAGTGGCTCACACCTGTAGTCCTAGCGACTCAAGAGGCTGAGAACTGAGGATTGTGGCTCAAAGCCAGCCTTAGCAGGAAAGTCTATGAAGCTCTTTTTTGTTTTTGTTTCTGCTAGTCCTGCGGCTTGAACTCAGGGCCTAGGCACTGTCCTTTAAGCTTCTTTTGCTCAAGGCTAGCACTCTACCACTTGCCACAGCACCACTTCTGGCTTTTTCTGTGTATGTGGTGTGGAAGAATGGAACCCAGGGCTTCACACATGCTAGGCAAGCACTGTACCACTGAGCCACCTTCCCAACCCTGTGAGACTCGTCTCTTCTATTAACCACCAACAAGCCAGAAGTGGAGCTCAAATGGTAGAATACCAGTCTTGAATAAAAAAGCTCAAGGACGGTGCCCAGGCCCTCTAATACTGGCAGGCGCGTGAGCACACACACACACACAACCAACCAACCAAACAAACAAAAAATCCCAGAATGTTCTTAGGTTCTGGTGGAAATCATTTGGTCCAAATTAAATTTCCTGAGGAGGAAGCAGCCACTACTCACCTGTTATCCACAGGTTCATGGTGTTGCAGATCTCCGTCTTAAATTCATGCGTGTTGAACCAGGACTGTGGGAAGCAGCAGCAGAAGCTGGTGTACACACCTTTGCTCAGAAGTGATGGGAATTTCTGTAGAGGGGTGGGGAGGGCACAGAGCACAGCCAATGTTCTCCGCATTTCTGTCCCCAGAAAAGAGCCTTGACTTCAGAAACATCTGTGATCAAATTCTGGCTGGATAGCAAGCTGTCTTCTTGTTCCTTAGGGAGCATTCTGGGCCTTGGGCTGCCCCCATCCTTAAGGTCAAGTCCTCAAGCATCCTGATAATTATGCGGCAACCCCTACTCTCCCGAGAACCTCTATGCCTAGTCATTTGCTGCCCCAGTGCCAAGATGATAATAAGGCAGATAGCCCCAGAGTACTATCTCCCAAATATCCTAGCAAGCATCGGGGTATTCTTGTGCATTTTTTTCCCATTTCTAGAGCTTGAACTCAGGGCCTGAGCACTGTCCCTGAGCTTCTTTTGTTCAAGGTTAGCACTCTATCACTTGAGCCACAGCACCACTTCCAACTTTTTCTGTTTATGTGGTACTGAGGAATGGAACCCAGGGCTTCATGCATGCTAGGCAAGCACTCTACCACTAGGCATTCTTGTGCATTCTTAACTATGACTGAGCTCAAACTATACATTTACATCTGACTATACCTATTTAATATTACAATATAAACACTTCTGCAAGTTATGATATATTCTTTGGAATTGTTTTTCACCAGTGACCTTCATGATATTATCTTGAGCGGGCATAGCCAAAAGTATTTACACAGACCTGTCAGTGGAGATTGTCTTTTTCTCAAGACATTACATATTACATTGAATATTTTTGTTTATTATGCTACCTAGCATAATAAAATACTAGACACTAGTATTAGTTCTAGACATCGAGCAGATAGACACTCAAAACTGCTAAATGGTTGAAGGTAGTGCTATGGCTCAAGTGGTAGACCACCAGCCATAAGCACAAAAAACTCAGGGACAGTGCCCAGAGTTCAGGCCCTAGGGCCAGCACGCATGCGCGTGCGCGGACACACACACACACACACACACACACACACACACACACACACACACACAAATCTGCTGATGAACAGAACATGTGAATGGAAACAGTTTCTCTTGAATACTAGATTATGACCCTAAAACAAGGGTTGAAGAAAGAGAAAACTAGTTATGACCCCAAAACAAGGTTAGATGATTGGTCTTCTGTCTCCTTCCCTCCCTCCCTGCCTCCCTCCTTCCCTCCCTTCATTTCTTTCCCTTCCCTCCCTCCCTCCCTCCATTTCTTCTTTCCTTCCTTCCTTCCTTCTTTCAGATAGGGTCTCACTGTGTAATCTAAGTTAGCCTTGAACTTGAGATCTTCCTGCCTTTACCTCCTGAGTACTTGGGTTAAAGGTATTTTAATCCCCCTGGGCACTGGTGGTTCACACCTGTAATTCTATCTATTCAAGAGGCTGAGATCTGAGGAGCCTGGGCAGGAAGGTCTATTAGACTCTTATTCCCAATTAACCAGCAAAAAGCCAGAAGAGCTGGGCGCCAGTGGCTCACACCTGTCATCATCAGGAGGCTGAGATCTGAGAATCACAGTTGAAAGCCAGCTCGGGCAGGAAAGTCCATGAAACTCTTATCTCCAATAAACTACCAGAAAACTGGAAGTGGCACTGTGGCTCAAGTGGTAGAGCGCTAGCCTTAAGCTGAAGAGCTGAGGGACAGTGCCCAGGCCCAGAGTTTAAGCCCCACAACCAAAACAAACAAACAAAAAAAAGCCAGAAGAAAAGCTGTAGCTCAAACTGGTACAGTGCTAGCCTTAAGCAGAAAAGCTTAAGGCTGGGACAGACAGTGCCCAGCCCTGAGTTCAAGCCTTTTTGGCACAAAAAAAAAATAGCCAGGTGCCAGTGGCTCACACCTAGCTACTCAGGAGGCTCAGATCTGAGGACTGCACACACACAAAAAAGTGAATAGAAATCTAAGTTCTTTCCTTCTCCTTCCTTCCTTTCCTTTCCTTCCTTCCTTCCTTCTTTCCTTCCTTCCTTCCTTCCTTCCTTCCTTCCTTCCTTCCTTTCCTCCTTCCTTGTGGTAGTACTGGGGTTTGAAATCCAAACTCTGTGCTTGCTAGGCAGGTGTTCCCCTTTGAGTCTTGCCTCCAGTCCTTTTTGTTCTGGTTATTTGTGAGATAGGGTCTGGACATGGTCATTCTATTTATACCTCTCCACCATTGCTGGGATACCAGGCAGCTGTCACCACACCCAGCTCTTTCTGTTTCAATGGGATGCTACAGTTTTTTGTTTGTTTGTTTTTGCCAGGGACCATGATCTTCTCATGTAGCAGGGATGCCATGCATAGACCACCAGTACCCAGCCTAATGTTCAACTTTTCTTTTTTTGTTGTTGGGGGGGGGGATCTAGTCATGGGGCCTGAACTCTGGGCCTGGTGCTGTCCCTCAGCTCTTCAGTTCAAGGCTAGTGCTCTACCACTTGAGCCACAGAGCCACTTCTGGCTTTTTTCTTTTTGCTTATGTGGTGCTGAGGAATCGAACACAGGGCCTCAGGCATGCAAGGCAAGCACTCTACCACTGAGCCACCTTCCCAGCCCCAATGTTGAACTTTTCTAAGCAGTAGCTGATGCTTACTTTTAAAAGCGCCTCTTCATAGTGGGACCTGGGTAAATGGAACAAAATGACGGCATAATGTTGGGCTATTCGGTCAAACAGCTTATGCTGGATTTCCTTGTTCGGCTGCCAAGAATAGAAATGGAGAAGGAATTACTAGAATGCCTGTTGCAACATCCAAAGGGCTGGTTTCTTCTTTTGCAGTACTAGAGTTTGAACTCTGGGCCTCATACTTCCTAGGCAGGCACTCTACTGCTGAGTCTTGCCTCTAATCCTTTCTTTGATTTTTTTTGAGACAGGGTCTCCCTTCCTGCCAGACATGTTCCTGGACCTAGTCAGCCTATTTTTTACTTCCTACCTTGCCTGGCATGACAGCTGTGAGCCAACATGCCCAACTTCTTCCTTTGAGATGGAGTCTTATGGACTTTTCTTCCTGGGTAAATTTTAAACAGTAACCATCCTAACTTCAGTTCCCCAGATAGTAAAGATTATGGGATTGAGCAACCAGTGCTCAACTTGGGATTCTTTTTATTTGTCTGTTTTTTGTCTCGTTTTTGTTTTGGTACTGGTCCTGGGGCTTAATCTCAGGGTCTAGGTACTGTTCCTGAGCTTTTTATCCTCAGGGCTGGTATTCTACCATTTGAGCCACAGCTCTACTTCCAGCTTTTCTGGTGGTTTGATATAAGAGTCTACAGGATCGAGGATTCAAAGCTAGCCTGGGCAGGAACATCCATGAGACTCTTATCTCCAATTATCCACCAGAAAACCAGAAGTGGCACTGTGGCTCAAGTGGTAGAGCACTCACCTTGAGCTGAAGAGCTGAGGGAAAGCACCCAGGTCCAGAGTTCAAGCTCTGTGATTGACCCCCCCCCCAAAAAAAAGTGATAATAATAGCCAGGTGCCAGTGGCTCACACCTGTAATTCTAGCTACTCATGAGGCTGAGATCTGAGGACCTCAGTTTAAAGCCAGCCTGGGCAAGAAAAGTCTGTGAGACTCTTATCTCCATAAACTACCCAGAAAAAGCGAGAAGTGGCACTGTGGCTCAAGTGGCAGAGTGCTAGCCTTGAGCATAAAGAGGCTCAGGGATAGCACCCAGGCCCTGAGCTCAAGCTCTAGGATTGGAATTACAACAACAATAATAGCAACTTAGGCTGATCCTGGTAGCTTATGTCTGTAATCCTAGCTACTCAAAAGGCCGAGATCTGGGGATCAAGGTTTGAAGCTAGCTTGGGCAAGAAAGTCCTTGAGACTCTAATTAACCACCAAAAAGCAGGAAGTAGAGATATAGTTCAAGTGGTAGAGCACTAGCATGAACACAAAAGCTCAAAGAACAGTGCCATGGCCATGAGTTCAAGCCCCAGGATCAGCACAAAATTAAAACCAACAAATAAATACCTTAAGTGATAGAGAGAACCAATTAGATTCGTTTTACCTGGTACCTCTCATGAAATATCCACCAGAAGCTATCCAGCCATATGGCTTTGGGAGAACGAGAAGAGAGAAACTTCTCTAATTCTCTATCTGAACAGAAACACTTCAAAAGAAACAAAATTCACATTATTATTAATATGCTTGTTATTGCTATTATTATTTTGGTTTACTGAAACAGGGTCATGCTATGTAACTCAGAACTGACCTTGACTACTTGAACTCACTCACATTCCTTCTACCAGTGCTGAATTCCAGGCATGAGCCACTATACTGGAACTTTTTTTTTAACTTTTAAGTTTTGTTTCAGGTTATACTTGGGTTTGAACTCAGGGTCTCCCAAGTCATGCGCTCTACCATTTAAGCCACATCCCCAACACTTGTGCTTTGGTTATTTTTCAGATAGTGTCTGACACTTTTCACCTGGGCTAACCCGAACCATGGGCCTCCTATTTTCCATCTCCTATGTAGCTGGGATCACAGGCCACAGGCATGCCCCAATGCACCTTTTTTTTTTCTTAATTGCTTCATTTAAAATGTGGTTTGCCGGGCTGGGAAGTTGGCTCAGTGGTAGAGTGCTTGCCTTACATGCATGAGGCCCTGGGTTCGATTCCTCAGCGCCACATAAGCAGAAAAAGCCGGAAGTGGGGCTGAGGCTCAAGTGGTAGAGTACTAGCCTTGAGCTGAAGAGCTGATGGAGAGCGCCCAGGCCCAGAGTTCAGGCCTCACGACCGAAAAATAAATAAATAAATAAAATGTGGTTTCCCTTTCTAGTAGCTTGTTTATTGTTATTAAAGGCTCTGCCACCTGCCAGTCATCCGTAGATATATTGGGGTCATCACAAAAGTCCCTAACCTACCAGTGAGTGTCCAAGATTTGCATGGCCAGCTGATTTTAGTTTTCAAGATTTTTTTTTGGTGGGTCTTTGGGCTTGAACTCTGGGTCTGGGTGCTGTCCCTGAGCTCTTCAGTTCAAGGCTAGCACTTCACCACTTGAGCCATAGCTCCACTTCCAGCCAAGTGTTTTTAGATATTCTCACTTAACCTGGCAACAGCCATATGAGCACCTAGTATTGTCACAGAATAGGAAAGAAGATCTAAGATGTGGAAGAGCTTGGCAAGTAGTACAGCAAGCCCGGACTGCATCCCAAACTCTTCAGTCAGAAATGATCAACCTCAACCCATATGGGTACTAAACAAACCTGAGCACATGTATTCCAAAAGTAAAGCAACCATTCATGAGCTCAGAGCTGCAGAATACTTAGCTTGCTGTCCTAATATAACATGTAACATTTACTGAATGTTTCCTGTGTGTCTGTCCTGGGCTCTGCATCTGCCTTCCTCATCTTGCTCAAATGGACTGACTCAGACACAGCCAGGAAGCAGGAAGAGCCAGGAAGAGAAAAAGGAGACAAAGGGAAAGGAAGGCATGGAAAAAGGGGAGGGCATAGAAAGAGAGGGAGGGAAGAAGAGAATGGGAAGGGGGAAGACAGAGAGAAACAGAAGGTAGGAGATGGGTGGATGGTGGGTACACAGGTTGGAATGGAGTAAGGGGGACATTCTGAGATGCCAGGTCCTAGGAGGCTGAAATCTGAGGATCCAAGTTTGAAACCAGCCTGGACAGATTAATCAGCAAAACACTAGAGAGTGGCTTTGTGCGGCCACTTTGTTGCTTATGTGGTAGAGTATCAGCCTTGAGTGAAAGGGCATCAGGTACATCCACAGAACCTTGGCAGGGTGTTCTGGGCACAGCTCTCAAGGCTATGCATTCACCCAAGGGGCAGGAAGAAAATATCCAACTAATGTCTGTACATTAGTCACTTTTATGTTTCTGTGACAAAATGCCTGAGGAAAGCAACTTAGTTTATCTGAGCTGGCAGTTTCAGAGGTTTCAGTCAGGTTCTCTGGCCCTTGTAGCTGAGTACAGGCTGACAAAATGGCAGCAGAAGTGTGGCAGAGGAGGTTGATCATCTCATGGTAGCCAGGAAGCAGAGAGAGAATGAGGAAGGGGACAAAGGACATGTCCCCAGTGACCTACTTCCTTCAACTAGGCTCCACCTCGGAAGCGTTCCACCACTTCCCAACAAAAGCCATCCAACATTAAGGCCATCAATGAAATAATCTATTGTCAAAGGCAGATACCTCATGATTCAATCATCTCCCCAAAGTCCCACTCCATATATTACACGGGGATTGAGTCTTTTGCACATGAGCCTTTTTGATGGAGAGGTCATACCCTCATACCCATAACAATTTGATTAAAGGAAAATCAGCTTACTGATATGCACTGGAGCAGCTAACAACACAATGTGCAGTGCATATAGTCTATAAGCAGACATTATCTACAAAAGTGCTCAAAAGTTTTTGCTAATAAGATACATCATCAAAACACCCTGAGGAGCTGGGCATTTGTGGCTCATACTTGTAATCCTAGCTACTCAGGAGGTTGAGATCTGAGGATCATGATTTGAAGCCAGCCCAGGCAGCTAAATCTGAGAGACTCTTACATCCAAGTAAGCAGCAAAAAGTCAGAAGTGTAGCTGTTGCTCAAATAGTAGAGGGCCAGCTTTGAGTGAAAGATCCCAGCAAAAACACAAGTCCCTAAGTTCAAGCTCCAGTACTAGCACAAAAACAAAACAGGTGAGTACTAGTGGCTTACACCTGTAATCTTCAGGAAGCTGAGATTTGAGAATCACAGTTTGAAGCCAGCCTGAAAGTGGAGGTGTCACACAAGTGGTAGAGCTCTATCCTTGAGCAATAAAGCTCAGGGACAGTGCCCAGGCCCTGAGTTCAAGCCCCAGGACAGGCCAAAAAAAAAGCCTAAAAATACTCACCTTAAAGACCACTGCTGGGGTGGGGGGAGTGTAGTGGTAGAGATGGAAGGGCAGGGATGGTAGGGGAAAAACAAAGGAGGAGGCAACAATACTTGATAAGAAATGTACTCATGAAGAAATCATGTTGAGCGAGGTAAGTTAAGAGCAAAGAGATAAAAGGTACATGGTCTCCCTGATAAGTGGATGTTAAATCCAAAATGTTAGGTGACACTACAAAATTAACAGGACTTAAGAAACAAAGAACTTCCACTCATCTGGTCGAACCACTACTAAATAACCCCATGCTGCTGATCACATGTATGGTGTATAGTGTACACCGTTATATGTTATAGACCGTGATAGACAATTTGCTCCAGGAAAGTTAGAATGAGTTTGTGACTTTAAATGAGCATCATTAT